AAAAGTACATAAAAAGTTAAAGTACATTGCGAGAATAAATTATCTCATTAACACCTCTTTTTAGCATTAATTATAGTTACAATGTGCAAGTAACAATGTACTCAAGGGTACTCTTGCGTCCATAATTACGTGGTTGATGAAGATACAATAGGGAATGTAACAAATGAACTCAATTAGGTAGAAGCCGAGCAATCGAGGGCCGCTGTAGTGATGCGACAATGCAGGCCAACTGACCTTAGTCGCTGGCATTTGGAAAATGTTATGAAACCCGATAGAACTAAGATAAGATGCAAGACCAAGCTTAGCGAAGAAAATGTAAAGGAAAATGTATTATATTTCAGGAAGGTATTGTATGCAGACCGAGGGTATTGGTAATATAATATCTTCCTGACTCGTTTCTGTGAAAAGGAAATTTTGTTAGAAAATTGTGAGATTGTTTCGTATCACGTGCATAAACTTCGATTTCGCTTAAACAGCGATCTTATTACAAAATTATGTTTACACGTTAGCCAAAATTAAGTAAAAACAAGACAGTACTGTCCGAACAACAAAAATAAACTTACACAATAAAAAACAACGAATATATCAGAACCAGAGGCAACATTTAATTACACGTTACTCATTAACGTTACATAAATAACAAATGAAATTAATCCTAGTATTGCAACCCATTTCCACGAAACTCCCCCTTAAACGGCTTAAAGAGCAGCGATTAATAATCATGCATAAAGTATGCGCTGTATAGAGAGCGTATGATATTTCATGCATAGCAATATGTTGAGGCTGATAGCACGTTAATACGCCAAGCGATCCTAAGTAACGCGTCATTAAGTTCAACGTATTCTGGAATATTCCAAACCTTTAAATTATACTTCGTCCGGTCATTTATTTCCATAAACGTACGCTGGCTGAAATCCTTCGTAATGTATACAATTAAAGGAATTTTCACGGACGGAATCACCGTCTGTCCTATTTGGATTACCAAACAAACAATAGGCACAGAGTGAATTTTAAACAAGTCCACATTGTTGTTACGGACTTACGGAAGCTGTTATTTTATTACATGTGTAATAAGATACAAACTTCCGACAGGCTTTGTCGTAGAATGTTGCTGTGTTTGTTTTGTATTTTTCCACAAAGAATACAATACACGCTTTCTCTAGAGAATACAGTAAAAAGTTACTTGAGAAAGGTTTCTTGACTATTTAGTCTACCAGTGTTCTGCACTGGTCGACATCACGATATCAGTCTCACAAAATTGAGAAATAAGACTTCGAAGCAAAAAACCAATTTCTATGGAAATTTTCTTTTTTATGTTTTTTTTTATTTACTGGTAAAGTTGATGCCAGCCGCTTTTTAAAAAAAAAAACAAACGACAATATTATTTGTGTGTCCCTTCGCAGTTGAAATGCTATTTAAATGATACCGAGATACAGAGAAAATAAATTAAATTACTCCCGCAAGATGTTCCAGACACTGAAAACTTTTCTTTTGCTTATTTTCCTGTTATAACGAAACATTGAGCAATGAAGTTCAGAATAAAAATATACATTAGATATGTACCAAGTATATTTATATTCGGGATCTTGAATTTTTCTTTTAAGGTATTAATAGGAATTTGTACCATGTTATATTTGATGACTGTTACTTACATTTTTATGACCGAATTTTTCCTGTACAAGCCAAGATCAGAAATGATTCACTTATCGCCTTTTGTCGGAATATTTTAAAGGAGTAAAATGTGGGAGGGAGAGAGGAGGTTACATCACGCTAAGTATAATAGAATGGCCATCGTACATCCAGAGTAATCCCGGCCATAGAATTTCAGCGTTACCTAGTTGAATAGAAATGGGACAGGCTTTTCAGAAAGATATGCATAAAGGAATATTTAAAACCCAACTTATTTTTTACGATTGTCCGTGGGAATATTATAGAATATCATTTGTAGTTACAGCATGATTCAGTTTAGTAGCATTGTTATCGCAAGCAAATAAAATAAAATAAAATAGCAAATAAATAAAATACAAGTTGGCGCGGTGGCTGGGCAACTGGCTGCCGCGCAATGTGTCGCGGGTTCGATTCCTGCACGGAACAACTCTTTGTGTGATCCATAAATTGTTGTTCCGGGTCTGGGTGTGATGTGTATGTAGAATTGTATGTTTGTAAACGCACCCACGACACAGGAGAAAATCCTAGTGTGGGGCAAGGTTTTTTTTTTAAAAAAAAATGTAAAGTACGTCATTTCTATTATTTATCTTTTATTTCACGGGGTTGTTGGGCCTCCGGCTGCAGTAACAACATTTAATTTTGTGTATGTCGTGTTCAATCCCCGCGCGGAAAAACTTTGTGTGATCCACAAATCGTTGTTTCGGGTATCTGTATGTTGTATATGTGAAACAATAAGTTTGTAAACGCAGCCATGGCACTTGGGAACATCGTAGTGTAAGGACAACGTTTTATCATTAAAAAATAAATTTAACTAGCAGACCCGGCAAACTACGTCCCTTCTCAAATATAACTAGTATTAATTTTTTTAGTTTAGTCATATTTTCTGACCTTTTAAACCTTCCTTGCAATAAGAAATGTCGGTTCAACCTTTCTTATGAAAGTTTTGTTTGTTCTGTTTTTAAAAACGTTGCCCCACACTATGATTTTCTCATGTGTTGTAAGTGCGTTTACAAACATACAATTTCACATACACATTACACCCACACACAAGAATAAGAAAAAACATTCTAAATTTACCTAAATATTATTATATGTATTTATCTGAGTTTGTGTATGTGCGTTCCATAATCAAAAGCCTTAAGTATTTTCAATTTTCGAACAAAACGTTTAAATTTGGATCTATATCTTGTTCTATAGTTTGGCGTTAAAAGCCTTAGATATGTATGTAGCCGTGTTAATCCATTGATGAGTATTGAGGCAATATTTGTCAGTGATCAAACAGGGCGACCCTTGTAGAAAGCCGAGCTTATCCAGCTTACTGCACTAATCGAGTCCTCGAATCGATACGTCACATTTTAAAGGTCACAAGTTTGACCGCACTATCATCACATCGGTGGAAATGTATTCTATTATACACTACCTCCTTGATGGTTATGTGTTCCTGGTTCCCAGGTTGCGTAAGCTTTACTTCTGGAGCCTTATACCATAGCTATATCTGTTCAGAATGAACGTCACATAGTACATATATGGATTGGTGCACCGTTCTCTACGGGATTACAAGGCGTGATAATTATGTATGTGTTTTGTTAGTTATCAAGTTTGGGAATAAACTCAATACTCATTTTTTCTCTTTTACTTCCGCAAAATTTTAAGATCTACTACTATAATGTACATATGTATAACATTATTAAGATTATTACATACTTTATAGTCTGTGTACCAATAACCTATTTTTACTATATTATGATAATAGACGATACATACACAAAAAATGCCCCTTTTACAATTTTGTCTGTCTGATTGTTTCGGGTAGGCACTTAATCTTGGAAATGGCTGGACCGATTTTGAATTTTATTGCTAGGTAGGTAATATAATAATAAGTAACTTAGGCTATTTTTATTATTCTTAAACTTTTAAGTATTGACGAGCGCGAAAAGCGAGCAAAATTTTACGCGGACGAAGTCACGCGTAGGTTATAAGCTAGTTAAATATAAAAATTGATTATATTTTCAAAGGCTTCATCACGTTTGAAGTTATTAGGCTAGTTTCAAGACATGTTAGGGGTTTATATTCATGAACAGAATTACGCGACACGCGACGAACTCCTCAAAAAGTAACGCATTATTTGCTCCTATAGGTACTTACACTATAAAACGATTAAGGTTTACTTTATCATATTACATTTTTTTTAAAATATATTAAACACATTTTTGGCACTACAACACATCCTTGAAGGGTTTTGTAAATAGAAACAGCGTGAATAAATAAATAAAGTTGTTTTTTTTTTAATAATCAAACATTTATGTTTATCAAGCTTGTCATGTCACGATGAATTTGATAATTTTTATTTGACGATACTTGCCAAAAGAACCATTTTCTTCTCTTTCTTCTCTGAAACCATTTGAAGATGGAAACACAAACTACACCTATGATCATGGCTTTGACCCAAAGGCCAGACATAACGAAAAGACACAGATTTAGAACAATCTGAATTATAAATGTGCCTATTTATAAAATGGGAATAGACGCTTTTCCCACTTTCATGTAAATGGGCTGACAGTAATTCATTAGCGATTTGCAATATGCATATTTCTGTCGTAAACAATACGTCATTGGAAATAAGTAATAATTAATAAATTAATTACCAAAAGTACTCTCTTAATGTACATTAAGAAAGGAAAGGAAATGCATCGAATTCACATTTCACGTAACGATGGGGTATATACTTATCGAAATAAGTGATTTATGATTTTAGTTTCAAATAGTTTGACTGATTTCCAAGGGGTCGTTAGATGTTAACCTAGTTAGTAATTATACTCGATGATAATAATATAGGTATCTAATCGCCCTATTAATGCTGATCGACGCATTTTAATTAATAACTTATGTAAGCAAGCGCGATTAGATAAGTATTTGTTTTCATCAACTTTATGTGTTCAGATGGTGGTCATGTCAATATAATTTTCCTTGAAAATGTTTTGATAAACAGACAGTCATATAAATATTTATGTTCTAATTTAAAAGTTTATTTCAGTTAGAAGAAGAGCACTTGAATACAGGAGTACACATCAAGTTCAAAGCTGAAATAGAAATAAAAGGAGGAAGAACTACACATAGACTAAGAGTGAACATAAATGTACCTTAGTGCAATAGTTGTGTTTACAAGTTGCCGAAGTAGTTATCGTGTGTTATGACTCGGTGCATCACCCAGTGGGCAAGTCTGGCGCGGCTACTACTCCACTACTACGGTCCGTGGGTGGCAGACGGGCCGTTTACCCCTAGTCGGCACTTACTACTCGTACTTCACTGACAGATGTCAAAGTCACTAAAACTTAAATCACATAAGTCGAAGTCGGAACAAAGTGGGGTTTCACACAAGCGTAAGGAGCATTGGACACGGGGTTCGTAGTAATTTGTTTACGGTTGCGTGAAGGGCGGGCGGTAGGGTCGCGTGCGGCGCGTTCGTAGCGCGTCCACCGCGCTCGGCGCGCAACAGATAGTACGTAGCGGTAGGGACAGTCGGCCGGAGCGAGGCGGCGCGCGCCACTGCCCGCGCCCCCGCGCCCCGCCCGCGCTGACGTCACACCACAAACCTCCGAAAATCCTCGCGACCGCCGATCGCTGCAACGACTTGAGCTGAGCTCAGCCCAACTAGAGTTCAACGGTAATACCCCAGACTTGCCACAAAATTTATTTACTATAACAATGTAAATGAGATCTCTCAAAACTTTGCTGATAACGTTTATTTTCTGTAAGTATTTGTGAGTTCAAGTCTTGGGAACTTATAGCTTGTTTCAATTGGTAACTTGCGTTTTAAATTTTCAGTAAAATGTAACAACCATATTCTACACTTGATTCTTGATCACGACGTTGGACGAGGCTTAGTTACACACATTAGGTATTAAACAAGATATTTGGTAAAAAGGTTAATATTGTTTTATCAGATCGTTACATTTGTCTCGGGGATTGTTTGACGGCTAACTCAGCATATAAAACTGTCTATACGTAAAACACTAGACTCGTCGTTCAGCCCAATATTCTCGTATAAGCGTCGACTGTTGTGAAACAATAACGAATGAAGCTCAAAATAATCGGAACATCGGTTTCATTACGATGTAAAACGCTCGTAAATAAGTGAAATGAAAATAACTTAATTAATGCGATATTATAACATTTAATTAATGGAGGTGTTTCATTAAATCTATTATAACCAACAGTGGCATTAATTATAATAACCCACAATCTGAATATTTTTGTTACCATAGCAAATTCTGTTTTACTGGACAACACAAAATTATGAGTTTGACTCACAAAAGACCTCCTGTAGGTTTCACTAAAACCTGTAAGAAAACGCATTTGAAGTTGTATTTCATCCAATTATTTTACAGCCCTAGACTGGACCAAAGTAAATTTCAAACATCCATTTCTTAGTTGCTTGCTTGCCCCTGGTGTGTAGAAGTGCTAAAGGTGGCCGGGGACGTTTCCAATTGTCTCACTTTACACCATAGCCTGACTCCAAAGCCGGGAACGAAAAGTCGGCTCTGCCGATCGCTTCCCTCAGGACACGCAGGTGCATATTCCAGGGCACACTGCCACAGCACACACAATCTACAACGGTATACTTATATAGGTACGAGGAATACGAGTAGTTACGAGTGCGTTGCCGACCTTTTGGGATTAGAGATTTGGAGATTTAGGGATTGGGGGAGGGGAAGTTTTGGGTTTTTTGTAGCCTCACTCACACGGTGAAATACAACTCTCTGGTTGTTTCACGCCGGTTTTCTGTGAGGTTGTGGTATTACTTCTGTCAAGCCAACCTAGTCCTGAAGCATGAGTCTCCCACACTTGTGTGTCTTTCACACACCTATATCGTCCTATTTTTGTTGTAAGTTAGAACAAAGTCTGGGAAGCAGAAATATTGCCACCCCAAAGGTTTCAGTGTACAAATATTACCCCACAATATTGTTTTCTTAAAAAACCTAAGCAAATATTTTCACACATTTCACTAGCGTTGGCAATAAAATTTTTGCTTACTGTTTATAGGTAAAAAGTAGGGAAAAAAGAAATATTTCCACTTTGATAACTTTTAGGTGATTGTCGAGTGCGGCATGGTAGAATTGCTTGTACAGGTCTGAATAAAGTTACATGGAGTATGAATTGTGGGTACTGATGAAGGTTCATCGCTTGAAGGCGGACCTTGAAGAATAAGCTGACAACTCAGTGCTAGTCACTTGTCGCCGTGCGCAGGAAAACTCAAAGAAGGCATCGTTTTATTTAGACATAAGCCGAAACAAGGTTTCTATAATGGGGACTCTATATAGCTAATGTTTTTCAATGACCTAGTAACTTCAGTGGGTTACAAATTACCTTAGTGTGGGAGAGCTATGCTTCGGCACGAATGAGTCGGCTCGACTGGAGTGATACTACGGCCTCACAGAACACCGGCATGAAACAACACAGCGATGTGTTTCGCCATGTGAGTGAGGTTACCGGAGGCCCAAATCCATAATCCCCAAAAGGTCGGCAACAAACACGTGACTCCTTTGTTGTCCATGGGCAGTACTGATTGCTTACCATCAGGTAATCCGTCTACTCGTTTGCCTATTACATAAAAAAAACTTACACTCAAAAGCCGTTACACGAAACTTAGACGTTTTACCATGACAAGTAAAAGTAATTATTATTGTTCCAATTATATTGTAAGTACAAATCTACCCCCTTCAAAAACAATAAAATGGATGATAGTAATATAAATGTTATATAAGTTACACAATTTAATTCCAAAAATCTCATGAATTACTTATTTTATACCTAGATTTGTTTATGTCTGGAGTTTGTTATGTTTTACTATTCCTATACAATTGTTGAGTCATCTGGATCTGCCGAATTACCTTCATAAAACGAAAATACAATTTATATAGATCCGAGATAACTGCAGAGAACACGTAAAATTCTAATTAAAAAACCTTTAATTAATTAAAATTGCTTTAATCTTGATGAATGTCCTAAATTATTTAAAAACAGGTATTTGTATTTGTACTTTTATTTAGTGTAAATATTATGTTTCATTAAAATTCTGGTAAGAGCAATAAGAGACCGTTATTTGTTTCTTTTTTCTTACGTTTATTCATTTCTAGTTATATGTATACGCATAAATCCTTAATTACTTACTATACATAAAGGAACCTTAATTTTGAAAACCTGATTATAATTAAAACCTGACCATAGCTCGACGTGGTACAAATCCACAATGGACACCTGAAAATTTCAATACTAGCTTCCGCCCGCGGCATCACCCGCGTAATTTACAAAATGTGGCTTATGTGTATCTCAGGGCGTTATGAAATCCAAGGCATCACCTGTTTACATATCAAATTTTAATCTGTTAATCTGTTTTTGCGCGAAAGAATATTAAACATACATCCGTGTATTCTCACAAAATTTCACATTTATAATTAATAAGTAGGATCACCAAATAATGGTAGTATAGACCAAAATAGAAAAAGAAACCTGACACATAATATTATTAATTTTAATAAAAACTACAGACGATAATTGTTGCATGCTTTGTTTAAGTGATTTCTTATACAAATATGAATTATTCAATATTCAATACGATTAATTATCATGTTTATGTAATGACAGTTCAATTCGATAATTATTTATTGTGAACAATAGCAAAGATTCGAATCATGATGTAGGTAAGGTTGTTGCGTGAATAGACGCCATAATGCATTCCGGAATCTGTTTGAATAATAGATTTCTTAATGGGTTCTGTACATATAGCATGGGATCCGTAGTCCCGGGTCGGACATTGAATTCGTATTGTTTGGTTTAAAATATCAAATTGCCCATTATTGCCTTGTATGGGTAAGCAAGTACGGCAAGTTTAGGAATTCTTATTTGAAAACTAGTGTCTATAAGTTAGGTACCTCAAGAATTTGGGGACGGTCTACTGATTATCCCGATTTGGTTGGGGTCCCATGTCGTATTATTTTTTGGCGAATTTTAATTATTTATTGAATCCCCTCTTTTTCTGGTAAAAATAGAAATAATAAAAGTACAGTTAATGACAACGGGATTAATTTTTTATACTTATGTGTGTGCCTGTGCACTCTGAGTAATTCAACTTAGTCTAACACTTCGTCTAGTGTTTCATAGATATTACATTTCCATTTTAAAAGAAGGATCTATTTAAGTATTACAACAAAAAGTTTTTAGTTGCATCTTCAATTCGATTTCCAAATTCAAAATTTTCTAAACGTTTACACTAACACGTTTCACTTGAACCAGTAAAAATCAGTACATTACCTGCTATATTTACCAAAGTACTTTAAATAAAGTACGGATACTGAGGGACATGATCCAATTTCGTCGTGTTGATCCAACAAGAAAGCGTCTCGGCCAAATCTGGTTAGCAGTAAAGTACCGTGAGTGGGGTCTAAAAATACACGTAGCTATAGATTAGCGAAGAGGGGACAAACAATAGCAAGTGAGTATTAACAAAGAACGTGTATTCGTGACGCCGACGGTGCGAGTAACTGCGCGCAATAACTGCCTTTGTCAGACATTTAATCCACTTAAGAGTTTGTAGCCCCCTGTTCAAAGATGCGGACGGTCTGTCACTGGTCCCGCCGAAAAATATCACTTCCGATACATGATAGCGATTACTGGGTAATCGATTTTATTGTTTTGTTTTTTGTTTAAGTTTTTTGTGTGTAGTGGTGTCTGTCAATGTAAATCTCAGGTTTTGTGAAGTTACTCGGTTTCCTAACTTGTAGTAGTAACACACAAAGTGTCACAGAATCGTCCCGGAGGAAAGAGTAGCTCGGAGGTTAAGGCTCCCATTTTATAGAGTGACATTTACTATGTAATGTATACTTACACATAATATCTCCATGTGAGAAATGACCTTAGCTCAGCAGTGGTGCTAAACTTTAGAAGATGATAATAAACACACAAAAGTGAATAAATAAGCCTTTATTTCCTTTTTTATGGTATACATATGTCAGCAAACGAGCAGATGTATTTACCTGATGGTAAGCAATCAGCGCCGCCCATGAACGCCCGTACACCTAAGGAGTTGCGAGTGCGTTGCCGACGTTTTAGGGATAAGGGTTTCGGTTATTTAATGTAAGAGATTGGGCCTCCGGTAAACTTACACACACGGTGAAACACAGCGCTGTGGTTATTTCACGGCGGTTGTCTGTGAGGACGTGGTATCACTTCGGTCGAGCCGACCCATTCGTGACGAAGCTTAAGCTTGACTCTATCACACTTAGGTTTACACTTTTATATAATACCTCACATATGGGTCGTAGGAAAATATGGTGGTTATACATACACCATATTTTCCTATGGCCCACTAGTTGTTTGGCCGCTAAGAAAAAAATATACACAGTGTGTTTACTCACATGACTATGTGTCATGTCATGTCAAAGCATTTGTTCCTATAAATAATAATGTTCGTGATCAAACATTCTGTTATTTACTGTTCAAATCATAGACAAGATAATTGATAATAATCGATCGTTAAGGCCTCCAATTGTTTTTCTTTGATGTTTTAATGTTGTTTAATCAGCTTTGTTATCAGTATAATTAATGTTCACTTTGAACAATGGCCGCTCTCTATCTGTTTAATTATTTAAAGCTGTATTGGTACTGTTTCAGTCGTCTTACAAGCGCATCAGTGAATCAAAGTTAAGTCTTAGCTTGTGCTAAATTAATATTACGAGTACTAGGTATTTATTAATAAATTCCTAATATTATTTCAATTAAGTAGGTTTGTTTTGTTTGTTTGATTTGATTTATCGTACTTATCGTTCCGTTTAATATTTGAAATGATAGTATGATGCAATAAATTTGAAGTAGTCAATTTTTATAGGTAGCACCTCGTCCATAATAATAATTGTTAAGGTGAAAAATCAGGTAGGATTTTCTTTACAACGATTGTTTCAAGACTTATTAAAAAGTGGCGTTTAGTACGAATCTCAGGGCATCCACTAATACTAAGAAATTTAACGCATACCAACGTGGTTTGTCATAATAATTGGCAATCAGTGTATTGACCATTGTTTAAACGTAGCCCTGTACAAGGATTTTCTCCTATGTAGTGGATATGTTAAACATACAAATTGAAACAATTGATCACGCAAAGCGTTGTTTCATTCAGGAATCGAACCCGTGACAAGATGCACAGCAGCCAGCCACTGCGCCAACCGTGCCGGCATTCGATTAAATCAGTCCGTAATAGGAACACGTATAAGAAAAAACCTAATAAATTATATCTAATTAAAAGCTTAGGTGCACTCTACTCGTTATTTATACCGTATCAAAGTAAGGAAATCATTAATAATGTATCCAATGGGATCGCGAGGACCACATTGGATGCATCAATACACAATTCCAAAGATTAGAGGTATGGTACTTAGCCCTTTGGGACCCTATACCTGTGTTTGGCGAAAAATATTTCACCAAAATTGGACGCTGACATAAACATCTTAAAAGGCTCCGTTGAGTCTCTAAAGCTTTCTGTATGGGAGTCTATAGGTATATTTTATTTACAAACTTTTTTCG